AGTCGATGTATCATTCTGCTTGTCTATGTTGATGATATCATCATTACTGGCAATGACATCCCTGGGATTGCTCAAGTAAAGCTTCAATTGGCTAAAGCTTTTGATGTGAAAGACCTTGGGCAGCTCAGATATTTCTTGGGAATTGAGGTTGCTAGATCTAAGCAGGGTATCTCCTTATCGCAAAGGAAGTATGTCTTGGATCTTATTCGAGGCACGGGTATGCTTGGGTGTAAACCTGCTTCCACTCCTATGGATCCTAATCCGAAGATCTCGACTGAGTCCGGAGATCTCCTTTCTCCTGTCAAAACAAGTCCGAGGACTGTTTTTCACCTAGCCCTAGCTCCTCCAACACAAGTACCCTGAGCCATGGCACGATACGCAGCCTTTGCTGAAGATCTCGAACCTACAGGTTGTTTCCTACTTTTCCAGGATATAAGATGGTCTCCATAAAAAGTACAGAAGCCAGATGTGGAACGTCTGTCAGTTTTAGACCCAGCATAGTCTGCATCACTAAAACAGGATAACCTAACCTGCTTGTTAGAAGAATAGAATAATCCAAGTCCAGGACAGGACTTAAGATATCGAAGAATATGATATACTGCATCCATATGAGCTGTACGAGGAGCATGCATAAACTGGCTCACAACACTAACCGCAAAAGCCCAATTAGGACGGGTGTTGGTAAGATAAGTCAATCTTCCTACCAAATGCTGATACTCCTATGGATCCTAATCTGAAGATCTCGAATGAGTCCAGAGATCTCCTTTCTGATCCCCCGCAGTATCAGCACTTGGTAGGAAGATTGATTTATCTTACCAACACTCGTCCTAATTGGGCTTTTGCGGTTAGTGTTGTGAGCCAGTTTATGCATGCTCCTCGTACAGCTCATATGGATGCAGTATATCATATTCTTCGATATCTTAAGTCCTGTCCTGGACTTGGATTATTCTATTCTTCTAGCAAGCAGGTTAGGTTATCCTGTTTTAGTGATGCAGACTATGCTAGGTCTAAAACTGACAGACGTTCCACATCTGGCTTCTGTACTTCCTATGGAGACCATCTTATATCCTGGAAAAGTAGGAAACAACCTGTAGTTTCGAGATCTTCAGCAAAGGCTGAGTATCGTGCCATGGCTCAGGGTACTTGTGTTGGAGGAGCTAGGGCTAGGTGAAAAACAGTCCTCGGACTTGTTTTGTGATAATAAGTCAACTATCATGCTTGCTTCAGATTCTGTTCTTCACGGGAGGACTAAACATATAGAGGTGGACATTCATTTTATCAGATAGAAGGTTCGTTCGGAAATTATCAAGCCGTGCTTTGATCGTTCCTCTAATCAGTCGGCCAGTGTGTTCACCGAATCTGTTGGTTCATCTTTGCTTCATTCCTCGATTACCAAGTTGGGCTTGATTGATATCTTTACTCCAGCTTGAAGGGGAGTGTTGAAATATCTTTATTATTTTTATTTCTAGTAGTTGTTTTTATCCTTTTATTAGGTGTTTTATGTAAGATCCCTATAATCATGGGATCACGTAGATAAAATCCTTATAATTATAAGATCCCTTAGATAAGATCCCTATAATCATGGGATTACGTAGATTTTGGCAGATTTTCTATCTTTCTTTGATTTGGTTTCCTTTCTTTGTACCCTATTCTTGTATAAAAATATAGATCTTGGCTCTCGGTTTGAGTAAGCCAAAACCCAAAACTTTTTTTTTTTTGTTCAGTTACTTTTTTTCCTTCCCGTTATGTCTTTCAGGATCTCAAGATGAAGAAGACGATTGGTGGGGGGTTTCAGAGGGATGGTCTTTATTACTTCCAGCTAACTACTGCTCCGACAGCTCTACATTCCACCCCCTCTTCTGCTTACCAGTGGCATTGCCGCCTTGGACATCCCTCTTCAAATAGTCTTCGAGTCTCGGTCCCTTCTTTAGTTTTTTTTAGTTGATTTTTCTAAGTTTAGTGTTACTACTTGCGAACTTAGTAAACATTGTCAGGCTACTTTTAAGTCTTGTTTTGATAATGAAAGTTTAAAACCTTTTGAGTTGGTACATTCGGATGTTTGGGGACCAGCTCGTACTACTGGTTTATTTGGTGCTCGTTATTTTGTGTCATTTATTGATGATTATTCACGTTTAACTTGGGTTTATATTCTTAAAGATATCTCTCAAGTATTCTCTGTTTTTCAATCCTTTTATACTGAAATTCAGAATCAGTTTGATGCAAAATTACTTATTCTTAGAATTGACAATGCCCTTAAATATAACCTTAATGTTTTTCAAAAGTTTCTTGAGTCGAGGGGCATTATCCATCAAACATCTTGTGTTAATACCCCGTAACAAAATGGAGTTGCTGAACGGAAGAATGCCCACTCCTAGCTATCGCTCATGCCTTAATAATTCAAATGCATGTTCCAAAACATTTTTGGGCAGATGTAGTTCCGGTTGTTGCTTATCTTTTAAACCGCATACCTTTCAGGGTCCTTCAACTAAAATCACCCTTCCAAATGATGTTTTCTGACAAAACCCTTTTTCTATTCCTCCAAAGGTGTTTGGGTGTGTCTGTTTTGTTCATAATTTAAGTCCAAGACAAGACAAACTTGATCCTCGTGCTCACAAATGTATTTTCTTGGGTTATTTTCGCACTCAAAAGGGATATAAATGTTACAATCCAACTCTTCGTAAACAATTTGTGTGCGCAAATGTAACTTTCTTTGAGGATGTTCCTTGTTATTCCCAGGAATGCAAGTCGTCTGGAGGACTCTGTTATTCAAAAGTCTGTTCTTCCAACTCCATTTTTTATTCTGACATCCCACTAGCTCTTCGTGTCTATGCTCGTCGCCGAAAAAGAGTAGTAAATCATGTTCCAACGACTAAAGTAGTAAACCCAACCTTGCCATTTCCACTAGTCGCTTCAACACCTGGAGATTCTTCTATCTCTGCAAACTCTGGTCTTGATCAACCTATTGTTGTTCGGAAAGGTAAACGGTCTTGTACCAATCACCCTATCTCCAATTTTGTATCGTTTAATAAATTGTCCTCCTCCTCTCAATTTTTTCTTTGTCATTATCCTCTATTGCTCTTCCTAAGTCCTAGAGGGAGGCACTTTCTCATCCAGGGTGGAGGAAAGCTATGGAAGAACAAATAAACGCTTTAAAATTGAATCATACTTGAGACCTTGTTCCTAAGCCTGTTGATACTCAGGTTGTTGGTTGTTGTTGGGTTTTTATTATTAAACAAAAGCCTGATGGTACTGTTGATCGTCTCAAAGCTCGACTTGTTGCTAAAGGCTACACTTAGACTTATGGCCTTGATTATACTGAGACGTTCTCTCCTGTGGCCAAACTAAATTCTATTCGTGTGATAATCTCTCTTGTAACTAATCTAGACTGGCCACTTCATCAACTTAATGTTAAAAATGCCTTTCTGCACGGTGACCTTACTGTGACAGTCTATATGACTCAACCACCTGGGTTTGAGTATAAGGGGGAGGTGTGTGTCATCTCAATAAATCTACCTATGGCCTCAAACAGTCCCCTCGTGCATGGTTTGATAAGTTCAGTAAAGCAGTGGTACCTTATGGTATGACCAGAAGCCAAGCGGACCACTCTTTTTTTTTTTTAAGAAAATGAAACGTGGTATTGTGATTCTTGTGGTGTATGTAGATAATATAATTAATTAGTTATCACTCGTAGTGACAAAGATGGGATACAAGTTCTAATTTATCACTTGAGTTCTAGCTTCCTTACTAAGGATTTGGGTAAACTTCGGTATTTTCTAGGAATTGAGGTGGCTCGGTCGAAGCAAGGCATTAGTCTTTCTCAGTGGAAGTATACTTCTGATCTTTTACAGGATACTGGGTATTTTGGTTCGAAATTTGTAGCTACATCCACGGAGACTAATGTAAAACTTAAGATGGATGATGGTGACCCACTCAATGATCCAGAGATGTATCGGAGACTTGTAGGTAAACTTATTTACCTTACAATCAGTCATCCAAACATCTCCTATGGAGTCAGTGTTGTGAGCCAATTCAACCAGTCCTCGGGTACCTCACATGGAGGCAGTTGTACGCATCTTGAAGTATCTCAAGGATGCTCCGAGACGTGGTCTGCTTTATCAATCTTCTGGACATCTTCGGATTGAGGGATGCACAGATGCAGATTGGGCCGGTTCTACTTCTGATCGATGGTCCACCACGGGTTACTGCACCTTCATAGGAGGAAATCTAGTAACTTGGAGGAGTAAGAAACAGTCAGTTGTGGCTTGTTCTAATGCTGAAGCAAAGTATCGTGCCATAGCACGTTGCTTGTAAACTTACTTGGTTGATAACTCTTTTACAGAAATTTGGGATTTCAGTCCAGTACCCAATTCCTCTCCATTGTGACAATCAGGCAGCTATTCATATTGTTAGCAATCCAGTCTACCATGAGAGGACTAAACACATTGAAGTAGATTGCCATTTCATTCGATCTAAAGTTGACTCGAATGAGATTGTTACACCTTTTTGTTCCTCCTGGTAGACAGCTCACAGACATCTTCACTAAGGCACTTCCCAAAAACTCTATTGATTCTATATGTAGCAAGCTGGGAGTTATTGACATTTACTCTCCAGCTTAAGGGGGAGTGTTGTACAGTATTGTATGAGTTGTCACATTGTATAGTATTGTATGAGTTATCATACGTGTACAGTTAGTATTGTACGAGTTGTCACACGTGTACAATTAGTATTGTATGAGTTGTCACCTACCCCTCATTACCATATAGAATTACCATGTATAGGGTTTACTTGTTCTCCACTCACCTACTCCCGTAGCTTCTCCTATATAAACACCATTGTATTATTGTATTACTCACTCAATAACACATACGTTTTCATATATTCTCTCTCTCTCTCTCTCTCTCTCTCTCTCTCTCAACAAGTAATAACAAATAAGCCACCGACAACAATTTGTTCTTCATGTTTTGTGTTAACATCAAACTGAAATTTGCATTATTTGATAGATCATGGAACTTGATAGCTTTTTTAAGGAAGTTGGTGAAGAATCACTGAACCAGGAGTTCTGCCAGAAGCTTGCAACCAATTTTAGGTAAACTCCAGTATATTTATTTCTTCTTCTAGCTTTGGATGAATGAATCTTATTTTTTTGGGCTCAAATATAATTTTGTTCTTTAATATAAATGTGCTTGTCTAAACATTAAATCTTCTTTGTTGGCTTGCTCTGATTTACAGTTGCTCACGACATCGTACTGGAAAACCTGCCATTCAATGGGAACAGGTTTCTCAATTTTATTCTCATCCAAGTTGTTTTTCTATCCTTTTTGTTCGAACCTTTTATAACCATTAGTTTCTTCTTCTTCTTATTTATTTATTTTATATATGTAGGTGCAATCTTGGTTCCAAGAAAAACAAGAATTGAAAGCTAAGGCCACTTCATCACGTTTTGCCCCTGTGGAATTTGTTATTCCTTTATGTGCAATAATGACAATCAATGCACCTGAAAGTTCTCAAAAGACTAAAGGTCATCATTTTTCATCCTGCCAATTGAACTGAATATAGGATGCACCTGCATATGTGTTGTACAGTGGTTCCTCAAGATGGTTACACTTGTATAATTGTTTGGTCCGTCATTTATCCCTGCACTTTGGTTTCTCTTCAATAATGATCACTCTCATAAGTTTGGTTTGGTCCATGTGCTGATATAATTTTTTTTTTTTTTATAAGTGACCATGTCCTAATATAATTTGTCATGTAAAAAATATATATATTTGAAAAATTTACCACCTATTCATTATATCTTTGAAATGTGTCCAAAAGTTGGTTCCGGGGCCATAGACACCTCTTGCACAGTCAAATATATTGTATGTTATATAAAATTTTAGTGAATGGTATTACCTTTTTTTCTTAAATAATAAATGATATTATTGTTTTTTAAGGATATACTTGACTACAATTTAAATAAAATGAGACATGTTTAAAAAAGAAGTATCCATCAGTCCCTCAATGTAAGAAGTTGGAAGCCTTTCTCTTCTATCAAATTAGCCTCTCTCTCTTCTCTATTGTCATCACAAGAGGGTCAGCTTGTCTGATTTGGGTTCCTGTGTCCTACATATAGCTAGTATCGATACTCCTGTAGTAATGTGTCAATTAACACAGGTACCAGGAGAGTCCATAGAACCGCTTGCATTCCTTTATACCAATCTTACAAATCTTTGCAACATTTTTTTCTTCAGCTGAAAGGATTGCAGAACTTTCAGAGTTGGTATTTGAAGCTAAATCATCAAAGGATTCAGCTTGGTGAGCTCTAGCACTCCATGAACGCACAACTTTTTTTCCTATTTATTTGAAACCATACGAATTTATTGCCTAGCACTTAATATCAACCAAGGCAGATATCAGCATCGAATCTATTTTGTTCTGAATTTTGTAATCTCCTTCTAGATCCAACTAACATCAATAGCCAATTTTCATGCTTTTCCAGGTATGATGTTGCTTCATTCCTCAACTACAGAATTCTTTGTACAGGCGAACTTGTAAGGTTCTTCTAGTTTAGAAATATTTTTCTTTGGGATCACAGTGATGATTTGAGTATAAAGTCCTCAGCAACATTTTTGTTAGAAGGAAAAGAAATGAGTAGAGTTTCTCTATGATGATATTGCATGTTTTCTATCCATTTTTGTGTGCTTTCTCGCCTCTCTAATTGATGCTTCAATTTGATCCAAACTGATATATGAAATTTTGCTTGAATCTTTTTAGATGATACCTAGTTTTGAGCTCTTAACTGGTAATTTTTTTTCAGACCTGCAATTTTGTGTTTAAGGCATAGGATTATCAAATTGAGGTGATTTTACTTATTGAGATTGATATTTGTATTTTATTTGTTGCATTAGGATATGTTACTCATGTACATTTTCTAAACACTGGAAATCAGGAAAGTAATATGTTTGTTTGCTTAATCTTGTATTTAACATGCCAAGTCACATGCCTGAGCAAGAATATTTGGCAACCCTCACTGGGTCCACCTCACAAGGACTTCCTAACGCTCTTACTGAACACCAATCATTACATGAGCTGTCTCAGTTGTTGACCTCAACATGGTGGAGCAATGACCAAGGTGGTCACATGTACCACATGTACCAACCATATATTTGGGCTCCTCTAATCTACTGCTTAAGTGCATCTGCTCTGACTGATTTATTGGTGATTGCCTGAGGTTCAGAGACACTTTGGTGTCATGCAGTCCTCATGGAATCATGTGGTATTTGGCTTGGTGGCCAAAGTTTGAGATAGCTCAGGCATATTTATCTCGAGCGGCTTGAGGCCAGTTGGATACCGTTTTGATCAGGCTGGAGATAGCAGGGACCACATCATCCTGCAGGTGTGTCGCGTTCAGCATTGTACGCTACTCAGCGTCAGACATGCTGTCGCAGCTGCATCACCCCAGCTGGCCGATCCAAGGCCAGCAAGTTTAAATGCTTGTTGGTCAATGATGGTTCTAAGGCCAAATGGCCACCATAGCTTGCTGTGTCACACAAGCAAAGGTTGAAACACCTAGAGTCCTTTTTGCACAAGCATGTCCCTAGGCATGACACTGCCATTATCTTCTCCACAGGCAGTCCCTACTCTTATCAAAGTTTGAGCTTCTCAGATCCCACTCCCACTGCATCCTATGCTTTTCTCTTCCTTCTGTATTAGGCTGCCAATATATCTTTTGTTTATGATCATTTACAAAGGCATATGTAGTAGTAATTCCATAATATGCAAGTCACATAAGAGACTGCAATATATAGTTGAAATCATTATACTAGGTGATCTCCCAAGAGACTTTATTTTAAACTAATTTTAAAAACTGGACATGATGAATGACATTGTACACATGCATATGATATAGCTTTGTGGTGATATTGGAGAGTTTGGCAAAAATGTACCCTAGAAACACTATAGCAAAAGATTTCAAAATGGATGCTCTTTTGACCATTTGTATTACCATGGGTAGCTAAGGACATATAAATCATATTGGACAAATACCAAATTAAATATTATCGTGCACTTTTACCTTTACTAATGTAAAAACTGCATTTAGTGTGAGGATAAGCGATTGTGAAGTCCCAGATTTTGTGGGCAGTATAGCATCCTCACATATCTCATTTCGGTACGATAACACTTCACTTAGAATTCTATAGATGGTAGGCAAAAAGTATTCCTCGAGGGGATGTCATTGTGCATAATGATGTAATTCTTTTTGTTTATGTTATAGGAAGTTCGTGTAAGGTTTGCAGGGTTTAAAAATGTGGAAGACGAGTGGGTGAATGTTAAAACGGCAGTGCGTGAGCGTTCTATTCCTTTGGAACCTTCAGAGTGTCATAAGGTCAAGGTCGGAGATCTTGTGTTATGCTACAGGGTAAGTTTTAATTTTCCCTTACTCAGTAATGAATTTAATTTGAAGCATAGAATGCTGCTTGGTAAAGAAAATCTTCCTAGTCCTTTTGAGAGGAGATGCCTTTTGGACATAGAATTGGGATAACATCCAATGCCTTGGCAGCATCTAATGCAATAAAGATGGAAAATATTGTTCTAGCCCAAGTAGCCCTAAAGTTTCTCCAATACATTATGATCAATTAAATTTTGGCCTTCTAAATTGACTTTCAGGAGAATGATGATCATGCATTATACGGAGATGCATACGTTATGGGAATCCAAAGGAGAGTACATGGTCTTGAGGGCTGCAGATGCATCTTTTTGGTTCGCTTTGAATATGATGACGTCCAGGTAAAACCATTAAATATGGCCTTTTTAACTCTTATCTCTCTCCTTGCAGATATGTGTGCGTGTTTGATAGTCGAGTCCAGTTGTAACTGATTTTACTCCTCCCTTGCCGGTTATGTGAGTGCCTATATCAAAATATACAAATAAAATTAAGGGAGAGAGATCTAATCGCTTGGTTGGGTAATCGTCCTTATAAAATCCCCTTCAACGGCAATCATTACATGATCAAAGAACCAGTCTTATTTTCTACCAAAAGAGTGCAAAATGTATCAACTCCCTAAACAATGTCTATTTTAGCAAGTGAAATCCCTACTTTCAAATATCAAAATCCTTAGAAATATAATAATCCTAGTTAACACTAATTTTAGAAAACTCAAATAGATTTAGAGAGAACACAGTTGCGGATATTATTAATAAGCTATGTACAACTGTACTCCCCTGATCTTTTTCTCTTATGCCAGGAAGAAGTTTCTTTGACAAGAATATGTGCAAGACCAACATAACGGAATTCTTCAAATTATCTCAAATTCCATCACCTACACGAGGTGACCAGCAGTAAGTAACGGCCTTTTCTATTTTTATTTCCAGAACTAAGAAATGGATGAGATGAGAACCAAAACTGGAATCAACCTTTCACCCGATATTAGTGTCAGCTTCACCCTTGTTGCTTAATACGAGAGAACAAGGATGATTGGTCTTCGCAGCTTACCAGCTGCGCTAATTCGCGTTTGTTCTCTCTTCTAGTTCCTAATATAAAAACAACATTTTATGTTTAGTTCTTTACAGAATACTTGTGTTGCTCAAAGCATCGTTGCGTGTTGGTTTAAAATTTTCTGTAAGTACATATTTTACTGTCAAGATCAAATATTCCTGTTAAAACTTCAGTAGTACTTATTTTACTGTCAAGAGCAAATATTCCTGTTAATTTTAAATCATTCAGGTTGGAGGTGGATTAAACTAGGAAGGGTCGACATATTGTAATTAGATGAACCATAATTTTGCTTTTATGAGCTATCTTTAGCTCATGCCACTGTCAATATCAACACCATAGTAGCCACCGGTTCCACCAATGAGGTCTCACACATTGACATAGATGTTACTGCATTCACAACTGTGGATGTTGAAGCATATGCACTTTGCGTCGTGGCTATATGCAAGAGAGACAACTTGTAATAGAAAAGAATGAAAAAAGAGAATTCATGTGTCAATTTCTTTCACATTGCGGTTATGCGTGTGTGTAGCCATGTCTACTCTGTTATCGGCGGAGTGGATGACCAATCAGATCAGTATGCCACCCAAAGGACAGTCATTCAGCAGGCAACACTTCTGAATATTGATGTTCTCAAATCTAAACGTTTGAAGACAGTGAAGAAAACAATAATGATAATAATATGGAAAAGAAATAAGGTTAAGACGGAGATGTCATGTTTGGAGTGCTGAGTTGGTACTTTGTATTTAGAATTAAAGAAAATTTAGTTTATTAAATTTAAGTTTTTATAATTCCAATTTTGAAACTGAGAATCAGTGCTCCCAAACTCAATGCAACACGGTTTTCTTTACCATTGATTTAATTGCCAAAATCGTTTAATGTGCACTTGCAGTGCCACCCGCACTTTCAACTCATACACAAATTCATTTTTGGAACCATATGTTTATCTGAAGTATATCTCTAACTATGTTTAGCAGCATCGAATTGGCGTTTTGAATTTGGGATTGAAAAAAATTTAGTATAAAATTTGAATTAAACTTCCTCTAGTATCAAATGCAAAGCACATAACCGCTTAGATTATAGGATTATATGAAATCAAGAAATTATTATTAAAATTCTAGAGATTTTTGAAATAACTTTCCAATACAACTTTTTGAAAAATGACTGCTAATGTAATCCAAAAATAAAGAAGTAAATATACATACGTTTATATATTTGTGTGTGCCCCTCCTCCGCCAGCCATCACTTCAACAGCACCAACCAAACACCCACCAAGATTGTTGGAAGAAAGGAAGGATGTAAGGGAGGAATGATGGAAGTTATTTCCTATGTTTGGTTTAAAGGAAGGGATGAGGCATTCTTTATGGTCTAACTTTTTATGTTCCTCCAAATTTGGACGAAAACGGCTAAATAAATATAAATTTTACCATTTTTACTCTTCAATTACTTTTTTAAGCCCTACTCGATACTTGAATTTTGCTTAAAAACATATTAGTATATAGATTTACAATCTTAAGGATTTGCCGAACAGGAAGTGATCAAGAGTCTTGTGATTTAGTAGTATCTCTTCTACTTTTAAAAGTGAATGGTGAGGATTCGAGTCCTCAAATGAACAAATTGAGTGTGCATTTCTTACCAATATTAAAAAATAAAATAGAAAAAAAAAAAAAAAATTCCTTTTATCCCATCATTTCAACCAAATAAAAAAGATGTCACGCCATAGTTCTCTTTTGCTATTTTTTTTTCCCTTGGGTTACCTCATCCCTTTCTTCATTCTATCACTCCTACCAAATAGAGCATTAGGGTATTAAAATACATTGTATATACTTGAGTTTTAATACACCACCCGGAGAGGAGATATGGTAGCGTACGAGGGTGGGAACCTAGAGGGAGCCAACAAAGGATTCCGGTGATGGGAAGAGAACAAGGAGAGGAGAGAGAATGAAATAGGTGGTGTGTAGTAGCGTCAATGAAGGTGGAGGGTTTGGTACCCTTCTAGTGTTTGGTATGCATATATGGAATTTGGTTAAAATTGTCATTTCACAAAATTAAAATGATCATTGATTGATAATAATAGTGGTTAAAGTGGATCTCATGAGACCTCAACAAAGGGTGACTGTAAATCAGTTTTCAGAAAGCTTCACAAAAGCATGAGTGGGACTTGGGTAAATTGGTCGGCCAACGGATTAGCCCACGTCAAATTTAAGGTTTTAATATCTTAATCCACGGCAAACTCAAGTCCCATGAAATCTATCACAACTCAAATCATGCCATACCGCATGGGTTGAGTTGATTTTTCGAGCTCCTCGGGTCATTCCTTATTACTAATAAATAAACATTACAAAACTGTAAATTTCAACAAAAAAAAAGAAAAGAAAAGAGTAGCATGAAAATATTAAAACGGTAGCCACCAAGTGGTTCTCTTTGATACTTCGGTAGCATTTCGAATGGTTGCCTATATATATATATATATATAGTGTAAATCTAATGTGTCGGGTAGATTTACACCTAAAAAAAAAAAAAAAAAAACGACTAATTATTTTTAACCATTTTAACCAATATCAGATAAATTATGCTATTTACATAATCTTGGAGATGCTTAAAACTTGTTAACTTACTGAAAATTTTATTTTACTAAAGTTTCTATAACTAAAATTAGTATAATATCTTTTCTTTTTTCACTTTAAAATTTTAAAGCAAGCGTGTCAAGTTGAATACCCTATTATATATATCTATATATTTCTTGTATTTCAGGTTAGTAAAATCTTTGCCCAAATCCCGCTCAAAATAAATTTAGGTTTTAAAATTTAAACCCAATTCCAATCCCATGGTCCCAATACCTTGCCCACGCAAATTCAGGTTACTCGGGTTAGTCCCACCCCTACAAAAGAGAGTAAATTCAAAAAATCTGACAAGGTAATTTACCTATAAAAATAATAATAAATTAAATAAAAAACCTCCAGGCAGGAAGGCAAAAGACACATGAAGAAGGGAGAACGGAGACATGAATAAAATGATACAGATTAGGGGCTTATACCAAACTTGAGATAGGCATGAGCCCTCAACCAACTACTACTTAATACTTATTGTTCAAGACTATACAGAGGACTTTAAAAGGGTATTAAGTAATGACATCCACAATCCTTTCTCACAGATAATGGACACCATAGAAGGAGAGAATATCCACATAACACTAACAGACACAACATGAGACCCTATAATAGCTTCTTCGCTAGAACTCTACAATTAATTCAAATATGCACCTCTCAAAATTGCTCAAGCCTGTATGCCACTTGTGACAAACCGAGCCGAACCGGGTTTCATATTTTCCATGGCATCAGGAATCAACCCACCAACAATTTTAATCTTACGAAACTGTACGACCATAGCAAACAGATGCAAGGTAAAGATTTTTCGCCCACTTCTCCTGCAAACACCAACCCAAACAAAAGAGACCATAAATTACTCGAAGAATCAGCAGCAGAGACAAATCAACCGGTAAGACAACAACTATTAACTCACCTTTACATGTGTACTAGGAAAGGCAGAAGTGCGTAGTGTCTCCTGTGTTTCATCTGTTGGCTTTCTTCTTGGCACACTAAGAACAAAAGCAGCCTGGTCCCATGTTGCTGCAGTAGCAGTAATACGATATCCAGAATCCCACCGCCGATGAATACCTTCACTAGGGTAAAGAAAATCTAGTTCTACAACCTAAAATTACAAACATAGTCAGCCTAGGGTGTATAACTTGACATAATGGACATATTGATAGCAAACATGCAGTGTCCAAACCTGATCTGAAAATCCAGCCCCACGAGACATCACAATTCCCCATCTACTCCCCGAGGTGGCCATGGAGGTAACATAGAAACCCTCCTTCCATTTTTTGTTTATCCACTTGAAAGGAAATGAATCGCTAACTTTGTAGGACTGCTGCAAATACTGTGTACCTGAATTTAAATAATTAAAACTAAGAGAAACTTCTATCAAGCTAGTCGGAAAAGTATATTAATCGGAAAATTTGCACTAACCCTTCGACATTACTACTAATGAGCCCCCATTAGTAGCACCAGCTATTGCACTGATATAGTAATTCTTTTCCCACTGCTCCATTATCCATTCCTGAGAGAGAGTATTACTTTGTCAACTCAAATACAGCTCTACAAACTACGAAAAATGGTCTTGATGTTGAATAAATACAGTATCACTAGAATGAATTGCAGTAGGTTACGATAAGTCATTGCACTAGCTTAAATGGTGACACAAGCATGCACCTTGTGAAGAAAATACGGTGATAGTTCATAAACTTGTGCAGTGAAACCAGTGCCTGCATCCATGATTAGCGCCCACAAATTTTGACATGAAGCTACACTGCTGATAAACAAGCCATCTTCATTTCCTTTCTCAATGTGTTGGACAAGCCTTGCATCAGCCACATTATAGTGATACCTACAACAGGATAGCAACATGAGCAACCTCATCTTACCACATGGATATCAACACAAGCAATCTCACTCTTCACCACATTAACTTCATATTTCTGAACTCTGTTTTTCAGAAAAAATAAGGAAAACTGAAACAGAGAGACGAAAGACTAGAAGAAAAAATGATGAATACAAAATAGAAAGTACACAGAGAAGACTAGAAGAGAGAGAGAGAGAGACACTAACAAAGAAAACCAAAGGCTTAACAAGCATAGAACTCAAATTTTATTTTGCTTAACCAGGATAGATATAACGCAAGACGTGAGAAAAAATGTACCTTTGTTTCATAGGTCGACGGGCATTGTAAACACTAATCCATTGTGTTGCAGGCATCCCCATACGAACCTTCTTTTTTGGTTGTTCATCTTCTTCATCCTCTAAAGTCAGCCGGCCTCTCTTATGACCAACCTGATAGATAAGCTTCATATGGGTAAACTACAACATTAGGTGCATTTCAGAATTATATTTAATAAATCAAATCAATAATCAATAAGTATAGGGTTAAAGTGCATTAAACCCCCTAAACTTTTTCTCTCTCAAAAAACCCCCCAAACTATCTAAAAGACATTTAACCCCTAATCTTGTTGCAAAACGTAAGTCAGCAATTTGAAATCTAATGTTTAAGACGGCCACGTGACACGTTACAAAGCAAAAAATTTAAAAGACAAAAATAACCTTATAATAAATACAATACATATACGGTTATACATCCGTCCCCCCTCTCTCTCTCTTCAACCACAGTGGCCGCCACCGCTCTCTTCCCCCACCCCCACACAAATATTCTCTTCCCTCACAACCACGTCCACCATCTACGGCCGTCTTCAATCCACCTCCCTCTTTTTTTCTTTTTCTTTTTCTTTTTTTTCTTTATTTTATTTTATTTTATTTTATTTTATTTATTTGACCTCAACTCTGGCTACAAGAACGACGAAGAGGTGGAAATCATTCGACATAGATTTACTTTTGTTGATGAGATCCGCCGACCTCTGATCCGTTGCCAAAGATGTGGTAACGACTGTTGAAGCTTAGGATTTTGCAGGGGTCGATGTTTGGAGGGGAATTAATTGAAAGAATAGCACATAAGAAGCTTCAGTGCTTGTGGTCTGAGATTGAATCTCCAGCGGGTGGCAATTTTTATGGTTCAGTCAAGGGCTAATTCAAGGAAGGAAGGAATAGAAAGAACAGAGCTTCAATGGAGATCCCAACAAGTGTATGTGTGGGTTCAAAAAGTTCTTTTTCTCTCTGCAATACAGAATTAGAGAGAGTTTTTCTTGGAACCCAATTAAAGAACTCGGAATGGAAGGTGAACGAAAAGGATCAGGCCATGGAATAGGGATCCAATACCAATCGCTGATGCCATCGGGACCGACATTCAGCTACAGAAGCAACAAGGAGAAGATGAAGAAAAATGAGGCCGAGACCCATAAACAAACTTTCCACGTGTTACTAATTACGCCTTTGTTATATTGTACTTTCTTTTATTTTTATTTTTTTTTAGATTTTCTAAATTATTTTATTCAATTATGAGTGAAGTTCAGAGAGCTACTGGGTGTTCAATCCCAACACCAATTCCAAGACTCTTTAACACCATTTTCTGTTTTTCTGTTTGCTATTTTTGTCCCTCTCTATCACCCAATAGATAATTTGTTGAAGACTTTTTCAGTAGACCATGTGAAGATGAAGGAAGGGATTGTTTAGTGCTACAAATCAATAAAACTGAACAACTGTAATTAAATATGAAATCAGCCGCTAAGTTTGGAAGGATGAAGAGGAAATCAATGGCTGAGTTTGGATCAAACAGCAGTGAAGGCGCAAGTTAGCAAGGAATGATTTAGTCTATATATATATATATCTATAGGAGTATATATGGCAAAAAGGTAAATTAACTTTGTTGTTAACGGTTGGTTGACCAAATGTCATAAAATACAACAATCTCATAGTTCAGGGGGTTACTTTTAATTCAGGGGCGTTTGTTGCAATCCGGTCATAGTTCAGGGGGGCGTTAATGCACTTAACCCATAAGTATATAAGAAGTTTAGCTTGATAATGGAACATTGAAGAATGCAGAAGAACTTCAAAAGTACCTTCTGTGCACCATCAGTGTTAATTGGCCTAATATCTGGATTTGGACCCACTATCCCATCAAAGAGGGAAATATATTTTGCATAATTAGGTTCCTCGTCAAACTTCAAGTTCACCACATATTCAACAAACAGCCTGAAAGGTTGTGGACAAAAGCAACATAGAGTTTCTGGAGATGTTGCCATCTTCTTTTTGCAAACAAGAAACCCTTTGTTCTCACCCTAAGAAAAGTAATATTGATATCATGTCAAAAAATTATACACAATAGTATAAAAACTTTAATAACAATTAATTCAGAAATTCAACCTGGTATCCTTGCCAAGGCAAACGACCACGGAGTAGGAAAATGAGCGTGTAAGCAAGAGATTCTAGATCATCTCTCCTGCTACCAGTTCTGCCTAAATGAGCATGCACACTAGCATAACGGACTGTTCCCCTGCCAGAGCAGAAAGCATATTGGCCAAGGAGTAATAATAATTTAAAAATGAAAATAAAGAACCAATGATAAAAGAAACTGCATAAAATTTTTGCAAACTAACAAAACATAATGATTGCTGTACCTGAAAACATCTGGCTTCTGGTCATACTCAACATGAAGACCAGTTGAACCATCTCGCCATCTAGTAGCTAATAGCCAAAACAGAATACAACAATAATTGGATACTTCACACTTCATGGGAATAATAGTTTAAGATTAAGGAGAATGTGATTAAAAAAAAATACCTAATCCTAAATCTACCAAAAACAGCTTTTTCTCATCCGGAGTTCCTGCAGGACCAAGCAAAAAGTTCTCAGGCTTTACATCGCCATGAACATACCTGCCAAATTTCTTAAAATTAGTTGAAGAGAGTATAATTCACAATTTCCAAAAATAGCATATATACATTCTAACAAGAGTCGGTGTCAGTCATATTCATACTCAATTATTAAAAAATGAAAAGGCAAGAATCATTTTTTTTTTAAACGAAAAGGCAAGAATCATAGTTGGACCATAAATTTCTTATTCATAGAAATAAATCCTAAAAAGGGGAATTGGATGGTCAGTCTGAAGGGATTACACCATTTTCCTACGTCAAACCTTTAAATTTATGAAAGCATAATGGCTAATGAGGATAAAAAGTTATTTATAGGGTTCATCTCAGACAAATGAAAGAATTTAACAAATCAGCCCCCATAGAGTACAGATAATCATTGCAAAGAAGGAAAACCAATCTAAATGTTTCCACAAGATACCTGACAGAAATAAAATGAAACAGAAAAGAAAAACGCAAAAGAAAACAAATCAAGATGACTTAAAAGACAAACAAAATGTTGTAGTAGAAAACCTCACCCTCTAGAGTGCATCTTCTCCAATATAGATATTGCTTCAATTGCAATGCATGCTACCATTTCAATGGACATCCTGGAATTTCAGAAGAAGAAAAGAATATAATAGTAAATACATGGAAACCAAGATTACAATGACATGTTTCTTCACCTAATTCAATCCAAATTTTCCTACTATTTTTTTTGAAATCACACAAAATTTATTTAGTTTTATATTTCTCAGAGTATATTAACAAATTTACAAAAAAAAAAAAAGAAAATAGGATGAACTATTCCCAATTACTAAAAGATGTTTTTTTTTTTTTTTTTTTTTTTTTTTTTTTTTTTTTTTTAACAAGTACGAATGCCTGAAAAATATTAAATGAGTCATTTTTTCGGAACTTCCAATTCAGGTTCTTCTGAATGTGACCAAATATTCCAACTTTACAGCCAATTTTTTTTTATAAATAAAAAATTTCAGAGTAATAAAGTTGACAAGTTATTAAGCCAATGTGGAAATAGAAAAATAAATATTGTACTATGGTAAACCCTCCCCCAATTAATACTTAAATAGTTAATAGTTTTGATAATTATTGTAGGAACAAACATTCAATGGTGGTATAAATAATTTATATATATATATATGCATGTGTTTAAATAAGTAATTCCGTGGTGGATAATTAATGATCTCTTTCCTAATAATGGATTATTTCAGAAAAAAAAAAAAAGTTATATAATTATGAATCATTGAAATGGAAATGTACATAGATATGCGAGCGCACACACAGAAGGAATACTAATAAATTCTCACCTAAGTTCAAATATATGAAATTCTCAATGAGTTAAAATAAATGAGTTAAGTTGTCTATGTTCTCAATATTTCAGTCAATAATTAAATAATATAACATTAGGAGTGTATTTTGTGTTTTCTTTTTCTTTTTGTTCTTAATGTTGAATATGTATGTAACGTCAATCTTGTTCTAATTTTCTGCATGGGAAGTGAAAAATTGTTGACTTATTGGAAACGGAAAAAGATTAATACTTTCTAATTCTATTAATTGATAAATATTGTGTCTCCCACGTAGTTATTAGAGAGTTCTTTTTTCACGGAATAATAATTGTTAGAGAGTTGACTGTAATGGAAAGTCGGGAAATAAGTAACATAAGTCGATTATGTAAAGATAAGTAACATAAGTCGATTGTTCAATATACGCACGTATGAGAGTTATTGTTCCAAACATCCCACAAGCTTGGTCCCAGCATATCCATGACCTGTAGATGTCAAAATCTTCAGTTATACAGCCAATCTAAAACCAGGCAGAGGCAGACTGAGCAAATGGAATACTCGAATTTCATAAAATCAGAACCACCAAAATTAACAATAGCTTACCATGATGTAATAGTCACCGTGTCTACCTTTGTAGTGTACTCGAGGTACACCATGACTGCCGCCAAGAGTACTGTATGGATGACAAAAAACTAGTAATTATTCAAGCATATGATGATAGTACTGTATGAAAGCCAAAATTATGACAATAACCAAAAAACCATACTTGTAAACTTGCCACTCGTATGGTGGTCCATAATTACATCCTTTGCTACTTCGATGCTCAAATTTTAAGGCCACCTAAAATGCACAGGAAAATTCTATTGTTATTGAATGAAGAAAAGAAGGACGAGGTGAGGCCACTTAAAACGATAACTTTTTTTATTTGTGGAAGAAGAAGATGAGGAGGAGATCAAACTTAATGGACAAAAGATGCAAAATTCTCTACATACCTCTGCAGCTCCGGGGCCAGTTCTATCATTAATATTACCACCAGAAACACGGCGACCTACATACACTTGGCCAAAGCCTCCCTTGCCAAGCTTTTTTTCTATTCTGTACAAAGGGGAACCACCAACTTGAACCTGTAGTGAAGAAACCACGAAATTAGATACATGTAAATATCAACCTTAAATTTCTTGTTACCACAAATTTTAAAAACCTTAGTAAACAAAGGGTAAGACTTAAGTGTGTAGAGCATTCAATGTGGTTCCAATTCTATTTTTGATTTTCCAGCTCAAAATTTCATGTTTCCAATTTCTAATACAAACAACTACAATCAGAAATTATGTCGTGCTATTATGAAATCAGCACTAGCTAATAGTTGACTCAATATATATAAACACCAAAGAAGTAAAAGAAACTTCAATCAGATACCATGCTGTGCAATTATGAAATCAGCACATGCAAATAGTTGACTCAATGTAAACAACACCAAAGAGTAAAAGTTGGCTAGTTAATTTCTCAAGGAGTATTCAACCTCCTAAGCTAACAATGGCCTCTCATGCTTTCCCTTTCTAGTTGCTTGATTCACAAGCACTTCGAAAATAACTCCTTTGTTCTGATCCCAATATCATAACCTTCTCATCCCCATATTTAAAAGGAGAACTGAACCCTCCCAATTAAAAATTGTGCTCTAAACTGGTCTTTCTCCTCTGCGTCACCTGTACTCACCGGCACTGGCGAGGGTGTCCATGTTGACATGACAAGACACGGGATATGCGTCGGACCCTTCACTGTATTGACCAGACACAGGTTGTTGACAAACACACTGAGTTAGGAAGCTCGGGTTAATCAGTAATGGTGGTTTGGCCATTTGGTTAGGGACGTACTGGTATTCACGTGTTATATGCCAAGACTTAAGGACCAAGTGGAGTGTGTTATTCACACTTGTATAATAATTAATAATATACATTTTTTTTTACATGTGTGCAAGCATTTCTTACACGATAATATTTATTTCCTTTGGTTAAGTTAAAGAAATAATTAGGTCTACAAAAAGTATAATTATTATACCTATCGGCTATTACACTCATAGCCTTTTTACGGTTTTATAAAAAATAAAATAAAAAATTCAAAAAGAAAAAGAAAAATGAATGACTATGTAAACTAGTACTCTGTAATTTTTAATTTGGAATTTGGAATATATGACGATAGGTAACTACGAGTCTAGGATAGCTGTACCGTTGCAAGTAACCCACTAACCTATGCAATTATGCTATATAGTATATATTTATATGTGTTACAACTATAACCCACTAACCCATAAGTTGTAACACAGAAGTGTTAATTGTGTGATATGCGGTGACTGTCAGTGGTGGGTTACACACATTTGGAAAGTTTGCTGACTTTGCTCAATGCAATATATGGAATGGAGGTTGCTAAACAAATGCATGCAGGCGTGTTAAAAATAAACATTATCGTGTAAGAAACGCGTGCAGGAGTGTAAAAATAAACATTATCGTGTAAGAAAAGCGTGCACGTGTCATGTGTGTAAAAAATTAAAAATAACAATAATAATAAAAAACAGTATGTCATTAATTACAAGCGTGAATAACACACTCCACTTGGTCCTCAAGTCTAAGCATATAACATGTGAATACCTATCCAAAACTCTACGTTCCTAACCAGACAGCCAAACCACCATTACCTATTAACCTGAGCTTCCTAACACAACATTTTTGTCAACAGCCATGTCCGGTCTGTACAGTGAAGGATCCGACGCATATCTCGTGTCCATGTTGAAACAGTTACCCTCGCCAGCGAGTCCACAGGTGTCATTCCTGAGGCATTTACCCCAAGCTCAAAGAATTAAAACAAGCTTGACCTAAAATCCACCGTTCAGATATTGAAAAAAGGAAAGCGATAAAAAAAATCCACATTGATTCAATGAAATTTTTTTCCACGCGTTAAAAATTGAATAATCGAGTTGTCACTCCTTTATGTCAACGCTTTATATAGTAATTCTACAACTATAATTGCTTCGACTTTTCCCCAGTCATACAAACCATTCAGTAGGTTAAAAAAATTAAGAATCCTAATCAAATATGTCTCAACACAACTCAAGGTTCTATCTCAACAGATTTCAAATTTTGTCAAAGAAACATTAAGTTAGAACCTCCAAGTAGGAATGGAAAATAACATTGGAGTGAGGGAAACAGCCAATATAGGAGACAAGGGAAAAAGATGAATGGAATATTCTTGGCATAAATTCTTTCACGAGGAAAAGCTGGGTGAAAAAAACTAGAACAATCAGATCTCTGACCATTCATATATGCGGCGACATGTGCCATCCACACAATGTGAACGGCCAAAAAGTACAAAAACTAACAAATTGCCAATTGCCAAATGAACATGCGAGAAATACTTTTGCATATTCCTCCAAATCGGGAAAATACTATATTTTTTCTAATTAGTGTGAGGAATCCTCCAAATTTCTAGATTATACGCTACAGATTATACGGATATGCAACTAGAAAACCCATAATGCTTGGTTATAAAATAACCAAAAAGTCAAAACCAATGTAACACTGCACAAAATTCCGCTGCTCTGTACAAGTAGAGTTGGTCTTAGTTCTCACTATGTACACCATAATGGCAAGCACCAAAGTAGCACTGCACAAGATGCTTTAGTGCAAAGTAATTATTTCATTGCTATCATAACCAAATAACTAGTTCTCCCATCATTTAATAAGATATCGCCCATCTAATCATCTAATTAACAGGAGAATACTCCCAATGATTAAGGAAAACGAGGACAATAGCATGTATGGTAGGTCGTGATAACAAACGTCACAATATAAAAAGGGATACCAAATCCATCAACATATCTAATGTCCCCTGGAATAAATCCAAAAAGGGTAAGATCTAAAGGCAGTACAATTTCAAAGATCAAGGAAATGCACAAAATGATTATATATGACCTAGGCCACGCCAACATAATATTGAATTGAATGGTAACAGTTAAAAACTCCATGATCTCACTAAAGAAATCTTTCTACAGTAGTAACACCATACAAGAATAATGAAAGACAAAAGGCCCCTAACGGTCAAATACTCGGATCAAACTTACAACCTACAAACACCAAAAAGCAAATCCTCCTTTCACCCTCGATACCAGAACCACATGTATCATAAGAACTTTAATAAACATTAAATTTCTATTTTAATAGCTATTATTATGATTATTTTTTAATTTGCAATCGTAAACAAACTGCACGAAAAGAATACACCTAAATGATATCAGAATTTTTAATACCATAAATAACACAAATAATACCATAAATCCCAGAAAGAATCAAGAAAAAAATTAGTTTTTCCAAGTATCTGCCCGAACCATTTACTTTTACCATCACAATCCACCAAAAAAAAAAAAACACATATTTCAAAATATCAACTAATAAAGTACCAAAATACATGACGATACAAAATGTATATAGTAAAAAAACTCACCCTTTCAGGAAGGGGGGCCGTGCTTCCCTCATCTTCACCGGCATGAGCCTTTTCCGCGCTCCGAGCACCACTATTGTAATCATCCATCGGCTTATCCCCTACTTCCTCCCCCTGAATGCCACCTCCTACACGGACTGGTTCTTCCAAAACCCTGTCTTCAACCTGCCTTGCCTCTGCTGCCACCGCCGCCGCAACTACGTTTTCATCGACCGGCTGATCGTTCCCGGGCACCTCTGCGGCTGCTCGCCTTCTCCGAGTCCTCGTCGCAATCGCCTCACCTTCAATCGGATTAGGATTAGGATTAGGCTGCTGCTTCGCTGCCCGGCCCCGGCGCACTCCGCTACGCAGTACAGGCATCGTTCATCGTTCAAATTTCATCCCCATTAAACCCTAATTTTTGCTCAAACCTTTCCACGTGCAATTTCAGATAAACACACCTCTCAATCGATCAACCAAACAAGGACACTAACAATCACAAGAACAAAAATTTTAAAATAAAACTATTGCGTTGATGATCACAGAAAGATGTATCAGAAAAATCAGAAGAAGAGAAAAATGCCCACGACGACAAAGATGATATGAATGTATCAAAATCTGAACTTTTCTTCAACAATTTACGATCAGAGACCGAGTAAACAAGAACGGCACTGCAGAAGCTGATAATTGAAGGTTCCAAAGATTGAAATCATTTAGGGATCTCTAGAGAGAGACAATTTCGAAGCACAGAGAGAGGGCTTCGAGCACTTCGGAGACTCAAAAAGAGAATATATGGTTTATTGTATATATAATTATATATACATACGGAGTATATGTTTATATATGTAAATAATACGAAGAAATAGGTTTTTCAATGAGAAGAGTGAACGAGAACCGTCGATGATCGTGAGATGAACGATTGGATTCGGTGTTTGTTGGTATTAGAGCTTTTAAAAAATGTGTGAGAAAATTGAGATATTAAGAACGAAAGAGTATGAAATTACCAGATAGGGCTTTTGAATTGGGAATTTTCCGACAAACCTAACTAGTACTGCAACGTATGAAAGACAAAAGAGACTTGTTTTCAAAACATGATTTTTGTAATAAGAATCTGGATAGAGGGATGATTTATTCAGGGCCTTCGCTTGGATCAGATCATCTTCCGGGTCATAAAGTACAATTTGTAAAAGGTAAAATTTTTGTAATTTTTTATATACGAAAATTAAAACCGTATATATATGATATATACATAACAAATACGCCGTCTCCTTCCCTCTCTTTCCCTCTCTTCTGGGTTTGCCACTTAACGGGGACGGGGGATATTTGATAATATTTTATTTATTTCCCAAAAAAACCAGAACTCTGTTACTCCGTCCACGTGTGTTCATAAAATTAATGGCAGAAAAAGAAAAATAATTATTAAGAAGGAACAGAGATAATAAGTGGACATACCTAGAAAATAGAAAAAAAGAAAGTAATCCTCCATTTATTTGTTTGTTTCATGGGTGAATTGTTTGAGTTTAAAGTAGATATAAAAATTTGTAGAGCAATTTGAAGGCATGATTTTTTTGTTTAATTATTTTTGTACTCTTAAGTTTCTTTGTTATGCAAATACTTATGTACATAACATCCCAAAGTAGTTTGTAATTTAAGTCAATCTAAGTTGTACGCGACATCCCAACATAATCCTATTGGATGATATTCATTGACTCTAATTGGAGAAATACTAGTTCAACTTATAATCTACTTAACATCCCAAGCATTACGCAATTTGTTTCATACTTATGTTATATGTAAAATCTCAAGCAAAATCCTATTGAAGAGAGTAATTGCAATACGTAATTGAGTAGGAGAATGATTATGAACAAACATGAAGAGATAGAAAGAGAAACACCAACATACACCGAGCTTCTTCTTCAGTTCTAGAACAACAAATTATGAATTAATGAACCAATAATTTTCAGACAAAGTAAAGAAAATTTACTGTACAGGAATTCAAGTTGAACCACGTAAACAACATGAATTTAGAATGAGCCAACAATTGTTCAGACAAAGGGAATAAATTTGATGATAATCAAAGAAATTTCACAAACCCAAAATAAAATATCAAAGACCAAGGAGAAAGAGGAAGACGAAACAAACACAGAGTAAGCTTCTTCGACAATAGAAGAAGCACAAGAGCGAGTCGTCAGGTTTTCAGGGACAGCAACTGACACGATCTGCACCTACCACTCTCATTCCAACTAGTTCTTTTAGGTTGGGGATAGTGTGTTATCGATGTTAGCAGCCGGGTCATTACAGGTCACAGTGTCCTCAAGGCTTACCCGGTAATGGAGCTTGTTTTGGGTGTGGTCAGTAGGGGCCATATGAAGAGAGATTGTCCACAACATGAAGGCAGTATAGTCAATGGTAGGGGGTCATAGTAGAAACTAGCGCAGTCGGCCATATTTCAGTCAGGGTTTTGACCACCACCACCACCACAACCCACTATGTCATCTCAGGGTTGACGACCAGCTAAGGGAGCCCTTTCTAATGCACCTACACAACAGTCAGGCTATTATGCTAGTGGATCTCAAGGACAAAGGACCCAGGGTAGAGTGTATGCAGTTACTTCGGCTATCGTTCTAGTTGAGCTATCCTTTGGTCCATCAGTTGTCAGAGGTATGTTTCTTGTGTTTCATTTATGGGCTAGAATATTACTTGATTCTAGTGTATCCTATTCATTCATTGCATCATCTTTTGCACATGCATTGGGGTTGGAGGTGAGTCAGTTAGATAGATCGCTTAGTATTAATACACTTGTCGGAGTCACGATTATTTTTTATAGAGTATGTCATAGATGTGCTATTACGATTACGGCATGGATATTCGAGTTTGATCTTGTGACGGCTCAAGTTTTTCAACCCGATGCACCAATGATGAACCGAAAGAATGACCCGTTAACGGATTCAAAATACGGAAGTGAAAGAAACAAAATGGCCACTAGAGATGTACGTCATCCCTTAGGCACCAATATGACTTCCCATGAAGCCATGAAACTCAAATGAGTCAAGCAAATGAAGCAAGAATGCCTAACCCGAAAAGAAACGTACCAAGGGCAAAATGGTCATTTCATACTAAAATGAGTGCCATCGTGCACACCATTGGAAGGTCAACAAAAAATGAATAAATTTAGACTCAAGAATTATCTGATTTTGAGTCCGAATGAAAAAGATATGAAATCAAAACAAAGCGACCTTCCCCGTTTAAGAGTTACCACGAACCTATCTCACTAAAACTAGAATAACTCACACTATAGATGGAGTTTTGATGAGTGGTTGGTACCATTGGAAAGCTAACTTCAAACTCTTAAATTTAGATCACAGAACGACCCAGTTTGGATTTAAAATGAAAGAGATATGATCTCTCAAATTTGATGCAACAAAGCTGTCTAAGAAAAGCTAAAATTAGAAGGCTACAGAAAGGATCGGTTGATCGAAGCCCAATCATCGGCCGGACGAAATGAGGTTTTTCCTAAAAAGCCTACTGGAATTGAGTCTCAAGGCTTGTCAGCCAACTGATGGACCCTCATCAGCCGACTGACACATCTGTTGCAGCAATGAAAAACTGCTGCAATGACTGTGGAAAGTGTCCGGTCCGTCTCTAAGGCTATGCATGCATTCTACATGATCCTAACAAGTTTCAAAACATTCCCTTGCCTCATGCAAGCAGCCAAAACATGCCAAAACAAAGAGGAACTTAAATGACACCCTAATGCATGAATTTTTCATAAAAATTCATAAAATCACCCAAAAATAGTTCCTTAGTTGAAACTTAAGAGTTTTGTGAAATGTGGACATGCACACAAACGTAAAAAGATATTTAAGACGCGCCCCAATGGTCCGCGGCCTAAAAAAAACCCCAATGCAAAATATGACCTCTCAACGGCCAAAAATGCCTTAAAATATAATAAATGAAACAAAATTGCAAAACCTATAACAAATGGTGTTTGGCCCTTGGCCACACCTCATATATGATTAATGAGACCCTATGAAAGAAAAAGAATAGAATTCCCACACCCGATGCAAACATGGTGAAACAAGGACTTAACATTTTTCATAGTAAACCTTAAAAATGAAAGTGCATAGAATACAAGATACATGTCATTGGCCTCTAGCCTCATCTTATACATGTCAAATATATTGAAAAAGGTGTACTTATGTACACATTACAAATATGGAATCAAAGATACAAGTTTTGATATACAAGGTTACAAAATGACATTTCATGTGAACATTTGCATGAAATGGAAATTTAAAAACTACGAGTCATCCAAGGAATAATAAGCATCACAAACCAAGTATTCGTACCTGAAACAAAAATGAAATGTCTCACCCCTCTTTTATAGGAAAACCCTAAAAGTGGCCCGAAAGGGTCTCGCCAAGTCCGGAAAATGAAATTTGAGCAGACGCGCTCAAATGGCAAAACTACGTGAATGAAAAAGAGCCAAAATGAGAAAATATGAACAACAGAAGAAACGCCGTAAAAAACTGAGTCTAGAGCAGAGAGATATGTCCCGAACAAGTTCGGCAGCAACTAGGGCCAGAAACCCTGAAAATGGGGAAAAACGACCAGAAGACAATTATAAGAGTACACGACTTGACAAAAAGTGAAAATGAATCCCATACGAGGATCCAGGCTCAAAACGAGGCATTTTTACAAATATTTTATTAATTGCACAATGGCCCCTCCAAAAAGTGAAAACTACACTAATGACCCAGAATGAAAATATCTTCCAAAAATATTTTCTTAAAAACCTCTAAAATAAAATAACTTCAAAAGATATTTACGAAAAATACCCTAAGAAAAGAAAAAGATTCTGAAAAACTATGCATCCAGCCCCTATGGACACCGGGAGTAACCAGAGTACTTTACTGCAAAAGTAAAGATACGTATTTCGTGGAAACCACTTAGAATGAAGATACGTGAAGTCAAAGGTTGTGCCAAAAAGTGACAAACGGGGAAAAGACAAAATAGGGAAAAGGACGAAAAGTGAATAATGTCGAAAAACGAAAAATGTGGAAATGACTCGATCCTTAAAAGAAGTTGTCAGTCCAAAGGAAAGAGTCTCAGAAACCATTTCCGAGCACTCGAGATAACACTAAGTGATGAAAAACCAAACACAGAATAGAAAAGACAACGGAAAAAATTTATCCGCAAAATTTGAGGAAAAAGGAAAGGAAGAAAATGACCGGTTCATTATAGATCTCCTCCTTCTTGAGATGATGAGCTTTGATGTCATTTTTGGAATCAATTGGCTTGCATCATTTCAGGTGGTGATTGATTATTTCAGGGGCAGGGTATCGGTTTGCACTTCTGAAGGAGATTATTTTTGTTTTGTGGGAGATCAGAGTGATTCTCTTGTTTCATCATTTTACAGCGTTAAATGGCGTGATTGTCATGACTTCTTTTTGGATTGTCTTTTAGCCGAAGATGATGAGTTTCATGGGAAATTGCATCTGGCAGTAGTTTGTGATTTTTTTGATTTGTTTCCAGAAGATTTGACGGACTTACCACCACAATAGGAAGTTGAGTTTGCTATTGATCTTATGTCTGGTACATCGCCCATTTCTATGGCGTCGTATTGTATGACACCGGCGGAGTTGGAGGAATTGAAGAAGTAGTTAGATGATTTGAAGATAAAAGGTTTCATTTTACCTAGTGTTTCACCGTTGGCAGTACCGGTTTTGTTTGCGAAGAAGAAAAATGGTTCCTTAAAGTTGTGCATTGATTATCGGAAGTTGAATCATGCCACAATAAAAAATAAGTATCTGTTGTCTAG